TGCTGCCCTTGGCAGCGTTTCGCAGTGTTGCGTGTAATGTAGCGTGTAGTGTAGCGTGAGTGTTGCGGGTGGTTTGCAGTGTAGCGTGCGGCGGCTGCCATGTAGCTCGTTTTGCCTCGTGCTCAGCTGTGTGCGGGCGAGAAGTGAAGCACACTGGGGGAACTATGCGAAGAACGAAAGATGGATGACCCCCTAGAAGTAGCTGGTGGCGGGAAGAAATTTGCAAGACCAAAAATACAAGAATTCCTTCTCTTTCTTCGATGGATGGCAGAAATTCTGCACCACCTCTATAACCTTACATTTGCTAATGCATAACTTGTAACCCCCACACGCTCAATGTTGAATGACATGTTAACAGGTGGTGCAGGATTTCCGTCACTCGCACAAATCCATTTTGATCACAGTGTCTTCAAACAATATTAAATTAGGAGCGCGAGGTTTCAAGTGTAGACGGATTTCTTCCATCAACAGTAGCCCAGGATAATCAAGATCATGTGGTGCGTTTTTGCAACCTCAGTTGAACATCCTTGAGGCAAGGATCAATCATTAAGTTGAAGCTTCTTACCAAACACAAACGAAGAGAGCGCCAGAGTGTTCCAGGAGAAAGCTCAGAGCGCAGCATCAAGAGAGCGTTGGAAGTTCCAAGGCTGAAACCATAGGACCAAAAGCGCTTTCAAAATCCCAAGGGCAAGTCGGGAGGCTAGCATCAAGAGAACGCTGGCAGTTCCAAGTGGAAGTCAAGAGCGTAGCACCCAGAGCGTGTTGGAAGTTCCAAGAGGAACCTAAGCGAGTAATACCAGAGCCCAGCATCAAGCGCATGCTGGAATGCTTGAGGAAGAACAAAAGAGCGTAGCAACTAGAGCGTCCTGGCGTTTCCAGAACAAAGCTAAGAGCGTAGCACCAAGAGCGGGACTTTCTCCAGACCGCAGCGTCAAGAGGCGGAGCGTAGCACCAACAAGAGCACGTTGGAAGTTCCAAGAAAAAGTTAAGAGCGTATCATCACGACTGTGGTGGACCGTAGCGTCAACAGCATCTTGGACTGTTCCAAGACAAGGTTCAGCGCATAGCATCAAGAGAGTGTCGGAGCCGGAGCCAAGAACGTAGCATCAAGAGCGTGTTGGAATTTAATGCGTCACAAAACGGAGCAAAAAGAGTGTGCCATGCTCTAAGAGAAACCAAGAGCGTAGCGTCAAGAGCGTGCTGGCATGCCCCAGGACAAGGCAAAGAGAAACAGCCCACGAGATAGTTAAGAGAGTAAAAACACCAAGAGCGTGCTGTAAGTTCCAATAGAAGCTAAGAGCGCAGCATCAGGAGCATGTTGGGGTCAAAAGAGCAGCATCAAGAGCTTGCCGGACTGTCCCAGGAGAAAGCTAAGAGCGTAGTAGCAAAAGCGCGTCGGAAGAGCCAAGAGCAAGCCAAGAGCGCAAAGCTTGTTCGAACTTCCAAGGGAAAATTAGCATTGCATTCAAGAGCGTGACTGTCTCCAGAGCGTAGCGTCAAGGGCGTGCTGAAACGCCTCAGGACAAGGCCAAGAGCGTAGCATCAAAAGAATTTTCAAAATCTCAAGGAGCAAGCCAGGAGGCCAGCATCCAGAGCATTTCGTTCGTTACTCTTCCCTTTCGCTTTGTCTTCCCTTCTGTTCCCTACTTCGCTCCTTTCGTTTTAACTTCTGCTCCGTTCGTTACTTCCTCCCCATCGTTTCTTTCGCTTCAACTCTTCTTTCCTGTTCGTCGTGCCCTTTCCTATCAACTCGTCCGTTTCATTGCGTCCGCCTTTTCGTTGCAACTCTTCCCTTCCGTTACTTCCTTCCTTTCGTTTTTACTCTTTGTAATCCCGTTCGCTACTTCTTCCCTTTCGTTTCAACTCTTCCCGTCTGTTCCCTATAATATATACGTCGTTCCTTCCGTTTTAACTCTTCCCTTCCCTTCGTTACTTCCTCCCCATCGTTTCAACGCTTCCATCCTGTTCATTCACCTCTTCCTTTCATTTCAAGCCGTTTCATTTCGCTATTTCCTTCGTTTGTTTCAAGTCTTACATCCGGTGCGTTTACCTCTTCCTTTTTTTCAATCCGTTCATTTCTTTACTTCCTTCCTTTTTCAACTCTTACATCCGGTTCGATCGGTTCGTTTACGTCTTCCTTTCGTTTTGAGCCGTTCGTTTCGTTACTTCCTTCCTTTAGTTTCTAGTCTTGCATCCGGTTTCATTGTGCCCGTCCTTTCGTTGCAACTCTTCCCTTCGATTCGTTACTTCTTTCCTTTCGTTAACTCTTTTAAATCCGGTTCGTTACTTCCTTCTCTTTCGTTTCAACTCCTTTCGCTTCTGTTCCCTATACCTCGTTCCTTTCGTTTTAAACTCTTCTCTTCCCTTCGTTACTTCCTCCCCATCGTTTCAACACTTCCATCCTGTTCATTTACCTCTTCCTTTCATGTCAAGGCCTTTATTATTCTTTGCTTCCATTCCTTTTGTTTCAACGCTTCCATCCCCTCTTCCTTTCGTTTCAAGTCGTTCATTTCGTTACCTCTTTTCTTTCGCTTCAACTCTTCTTTCCTGTTTGTCTTGCTGTTCCTTCGTCTTCGCAATTCGTCTTCGGGGGAAAGTCGTCTTCGGGGCGCAATTCGTCTTCGGGGAATTCGTCTTTGGAATTCGTCTGCGGATGGAAAAGTGATACCCGCACAGCGGCCTCAATGATCTCAATGTATATTTATATAATACTACATACTGTCTTTTCTACATCATTACTAATCATTACGATTCTACATGCATATTTTGCCACACTCAACCTCCCATGCCACAAAGTTTCACAGTGGATATGCCTCCGGATTGCTGGTCACAAGTCCCAAATGGCACTTCTCCTCCTGGAATTTGTTTAGCAAATCCAGCCTGGAAGAGGACCCAAGTCGTGCGAGCATCGATCAATCTTACACTTACGCTTCATTGTACATTCACAAGAACTCTCAACAACAAATGCCAAGCAAAATTATATAATTAATCAACTCAGTTGCACCTTCTGTCTGTCTAGCCGAGCAGCATCAGCATTCCCGGGTGTACTAGGGTCATTCTGAACAGGTGCAGATCCCCAAATGTCCTTAAGCGATCTTAAGGGCCCGAAATGCACCATCATCGCATTATTGCAGACTTCAATTATCTAAATGGCTTGCAACGCTCACAGCAAATCCATGCTCTGACTTGAATGCTGCATTCCAGCTTCAGGCTTCCATTGAGTTGCTCTGGAGTCAACATCTTAGTGCCGCATCAGCGAACAATTCGGCACTTGATGGCATTGACGAAACGTGTGTTCGAAGCTGTCAGCTGTGTGCTGCTCACCTGTTTCTGGCACTCAGTGCACTACAATTGAGACCCTCACAATAAGCTTCTTCACTAGAATGAAGCCACGGACATTGTGCTTGTGCCTCAGCTTACTTTGCTCATGTCTCGGATCAACTCTGACACAGAGATTCACAATCAGAAAATTGGAGATAGACCACATGCCTTGGATGCCGCCATAATGAAGTGCAAGCCACTTCCTGTAGACTGGAATTCGGGAATGGCCGAAGCTGTCGATCTCCTGCTCAAGCACAGGATGCAGCTAGTCATCAGGGCTGCCTTAAAGTTTTATCAAGAATGCATGATGGAGTAGCAACATGTTGCAACAAGGCCAACAAAACTTGACCTTTGCCTTGCTTATCTTGCCTTGTATAGCTTTGAGGGTGGAGATGTGTGGAGTGGTTTTTCCAAATCCATAGCTGTCTTCGAGCCTTCAGGCTTTCATGCGAGATCTCGGCATCAGCATCCAGCCTCGCACTGCAAAACCACAACAAACTCAATTTGCAAATCAAGGCAGCACGTATGAAGGCGAACCGAAGCTGGTGTTGCTCATGCTGGCCGCTGGGGCGGAAACATGTGGGCACTCCGCAAGGGCACGAGGGCCTCATTCCAAATACAGCCACGATGTCGCACGCTGTGCCACTTGCTCTTTAACTGCAATTGAAGCTGGATTCAAACTGGCTCAAAATGGCTCAAGATGGCTCAAAATGTTCAAAATGGCTCAAAATGGCTCAAGTATCCGATCCTGGCCTCTTGAGCTGTCATATGCGTCAAGTTCATGACTCCGTGCATAATCTTGATCCTGGGTCACACGGTATTGACTCACTGATCCTAAACTGGACCTCAAAGAGTTCCTTTGAAAGTTTCACTGAGGTGTGTCCGCTGAGCTCCGGTCTCATCCCTCTCCTGCAATCTGAAAATGCCCGAGGTGAGTTCTCCGGACTTGAAAGTTATCCTAGGCAATTGGGCACTCAACGAAGATTCTCCGTGTCTCCAAGGTCTGCAAGGTCTCTTCCACCATGTCCGGTACCCAGTCCCTGTTTGAACCTTTGCTTCTCAGTACTTTTTGCTTGCACATCTGCAGGTGAATGGACCATCTCAGACTTTCTGCTACCAACATGATGTTCCGCTCAGGGTCAAATCCTCCGGCTTCCTGTCACGGGAGCTGTATAGTCTGAATGCCAGATCCGGACCTTGAAGCCGAACACAAAATTCACGGAGCTTCTATCCATTCAAAAAGATTGAAAACACCTCGGACAAAGGCACTGGATTCTTCAACACTCCACGGATCGCAGGGCAATGCATAATACATTTGTCCAACCTCAGCGTTGCAAACGGAAGGATTTCGCCAAGCTGTTCTCGGTTGAAGGCTTGCATCAAAATTGCCTGCTGAGCAGCCTTCAGCTTCGATGATTTGGCTGGAATTTCATTGGTTTCAGAAAAAACAACCTGAGCCAAAGAAAATGGCCAGAGAGCAGGCTCAAGTCCCATACAATCAATCAGAGTCGATCAAAGTTGTGGCGTTCTGATGGGCCCGACTCTCTTCAGATCTAGAATGATCTATATCCGCCGACCCCGGCCGACGCAAGGGGGAGCGCGTAAGGGAAGAAGATGGAAATTAGGTGGTGTTTTGCTGTTTCGGAAGCGTTTCGAAACAGTAGGCCCAGCCATAATATTGTTTAGGCGATTCTGGGGGATTCGGCCGAAACAGCTGGCCCAGCTACCGGAGATTCTGGGGGATTCGGCTGAAACAGTTGGCCCAGCTAGGATTCTCGAAGTAGGATCTAAACTAGGATCTAGATCTAGATCTAGGATTCTCTAGGATTTCAGAAGGGACGTTAGGCAGGTTTCTGTAATATTGTTTAGGCGATTCTAGGGATTCGGCCGAAACAGCTGGCCTAGCTACCGGAGATTCTGAGGGATTCGGCTGAAACGGCTGGCCCAGCTAGGATTCTCGAACTAGGATCTAAACTAGGATCTGGATCTAGATCTAGGATCTGGATCTAGATCTAGGATTCTCTAGGATTTCAGAAGGGGCGTTAGGTAGTTTTCTGCCGCGATTTTTCGTTATTTTCGGCACGAAATTAGGTGGTGTTTTGCTGTTTCGGAACCGCTTCGAAACAGCAGGCCTAGCTGTAATATTGTTTAGGAGATTCTGGGGGATTCGGCCGAAGCAGCTGGCCTAGCAAGGATTCCCGAAGCCGCGATTTTTCGTTATTTTCGGCACGAAATTAGGTGGTGTTTTGCTGTTTCGGAACCGCTTCGAAACAGCAGGCCTAGCTGTAATATTGTTTAGGAGATTCTGGGGGATTCGGCCGAAGCAGCTGGCCTAGCAAGGATTCCCGAACTAGGATCTAGATCTAGATCTAGGATAGATCTAGAGATCTAGATCTAGGATTCTCTAGGATTTCAGAAGAGACGTTAGCCACTTTTTTGGCGTGGTTTTGGAACTAGTTCGTCCTTCAGAGCCATGGTGTTTTCCTGCCGGGAGCTGCTTTTATGCTTTTTTCGAAGTTGTTTTCGGAAAAAGGTTGTTTTTCTAGGATTTCAGAAGGGACGTTAGGCACTTTTTGGCGTGGTTTTGGAACTAGTTCGTCCTTCAGAGCCATGGTGTTTTCCTGCCGGGAGCTGCTTTTATGTTTTTTTCGAAGTTGTTTTCCTGCGAGCGGGCGCAGGCAACAGAAATTCTCGAAAAATTTTGTTTTTCTAGGATTTCAGACGGGACGTTAGGCACTTTTTTGGCGTGGTTTTGGAACTAGTTCGTCCTTCAGAGCCATGGTGTTTTCCTGCCGGGAGCTGCTTTTTTCGAAGTTGTTTTCCTGCGAGCGGCCGCAGGCAACAGAAATTCTCGAAAAAAATTGTTTTATGTTGTTTTATGTTGTTTTTCTATGTTGTTTTATGTTGTTTTTCTAGGATTTCAGAAGGGACGTTAGGCACTTTTTTGGCGTGGTTTTGGAACTAGTTCGTCCTTCAGAGCCATGGTGTTTTCCTGCCGGGAGCTGCTTCTATGTTTTTTTCGAAGTTGTTTTCCTGCGAGCGGGCGCAGGCAACAGAAATTCTCGAAAAAGGTTGTTTTTCTAGGATTTCAGACGGGACGTTAGGCACTTTTTTGGCGTGGTTTTGGAACTAGTTCGTCCTTCAGAGCCATTGTGTTTTCCTGCCGGGAGCTGCTTTTTTCGAAGTTGTTTTCCTGCGAGCGGCCGCAGGCAACAGAAATTCTCGAAAAATGTTGTTTTTCTAGGATTTCAGACGGGACGTTAGGTACTTTTTTTGCGTGGTTTTGGAACTAGTTCGTCCTTCAGAGCCATGGTGTTTTCCTGCCGGGAGCTGCTTTTTTCGCAGTTGTTTTCCTGCGAGCGGCCGCAGGCAACAGAAATTCTCGAAAAAGGTTGTTTTTCTAGGATTTCAGACGGGACGTTAGGTTGTTTTTCTAGGATGTCAGACGGGACGTTAGGTACTTTTTTGGCGTGGTTTTGGAACTAGTTCGTCCTTCAGAGCCATGGTGTTTTCCTGCCGGGAGCTGCTTTTATGTTTTTTTCGAAGTTGTTTTCCTGCGAGCGGCCGCAGGCAACAGAAATTCTCGAAAAAGGTTGTTTTATGCATAGATTAATCAGACAGGACGATTAGGACACTTTTTTGAGAGAGGAACGTGGTTTTGGAACTAGCTCGTCCTTCAGAGCCATGGTGTTTTCCTGCCGGGAGCTGCTTTTTTCGAAGTTGTTTTCCTGCGAAAAAGGTTGTTCGTCCTTCAGAGCCATGGTGTTTTCCTGCCGGGGGCTGCTTTTATGCTTTTTTCGAAGTTGTTTTCGGAAAAAGGTTGTTTTTCTAGGATTTCAGAAGGGACGTTAGGCACTTTTTTGGCGTGGTTTTGGAACTAGTTCGTCCTTCAGAGCCATGGTGTTTTCCTGCCGGGAGCTGCTTTTATGTTTTTTTCGAAGTTGTTTTCCTGCGAGCGGGCGCAGGCAACAGAAATTCTCGAAAAATGTTGTTTTTCTAGGATTTCAGACGGGACGTTAGGCACTTTTTTGGCGTGGTTTTGGAAATAGTTCGTCCTTCAGAGCCATGGTGTTTTCCTGCCGGGAGCTGCTTTTTTCGAAGTTGTTTTCCTGCGAGCGGCCGCAGGCAACAGAAATTCTCGAAAAAGGTTGTTTTATGTTGTTTTATGTTGTTTTTCTATGTTGTTTTATGTTGTTTTTCTAGGATTTCAGAAGAGACGTTAGGCACTTTTTTGGCGTGGTTTTGGAACTAGTTCGTCCTTCAGAGCCATTGTGTTTTCCTGCCGGGAGCTGCTTTTATGTTTTTTTCGAAGTTGTTTTCCTGCGAGCGGGCGCAGGCAACAGAAATTCTCGAAAAAGGTTGTTTTTCTAGGATTTCAGACGGGACGTTAGGCACTTTTTTGGCGTGGTTTTGGAACTAGTTCGTCCTTCAGAGCCATGGTGTTTTCCTGCCGGGAGCTGCTTCTTTCGAAGTTGTTTTCCTGCGAGCCGCCGCAGGCAACAGAAATTCTCGAAAAAGGTTGTTTTTCTAGGATTTCAGACGGGACGTTAGGTACTTTTTTGGCGTGGTTTTGGAACTAGTTCGTCCTTCAGAGCCATGGTGTTTTCCTGCCGGGAGCTGCTTTTTTCGCAGTTGTTTTCCTGCGAGCGGCCGCAGGCAACAGAAATTCTCGAAAAAGGGTGTTTTTCTAGGATTTCAGACGGGACGTTAGGCACTTTTTTGGCGTGGTTTTGGAACTAGCTCGTCCTTCAGAGCCATGGTGTTTTCCTGCCGGGAGCTGCTTTTTTCGAAGTTGTTTTCCTGCGAAAAAGGTTGTTTTTCTAGGATTTCAGACAGGACGTTAGGCACTTTTTTGGCGTGGTTGTGGAACTAGTTCGTCCTTCAGAGCCATTGTGTTTTCCTGCCGGGAGCTGCTTTTTTCGAAGTTGTTTTCCTGCGAGCGGCCGCAGGCAACAGAAATTCTCGAAAAATGTTGTTTTTCTAGGATTTCAGAAGGGACGTTAGGCACTTTTTTGGCGTGGTTTTGGAACTAGTTCGTCCTTCAGAGCCATGGTGTTTTCCTGCCGGGAGCTGCTTTTTTCGAAGTTGTTTTCCTGCGAGCGGCCGCAGGCAACAGAAATTCTCGAAAAAAGTTGTTTTTCTGGGATTTCAGACGGGACCGGCCGACGCACAGGGGAGCTGCCCGCAGGCAGCAGCAGGCAGCAGGCAGCAGCAGGCAGCAGCAGACACAAGCAGACGCAGCAGCAGTAAGCGCAATGGTAGCAGTGCAGCAGCTAGCAGCACGAAAAATTGTGTTTTTCTAGGATGGCACTAATGGGTGTCAAGAACGTGGGCAAGAGCACGCAAAAGGTGCACATAGCCAGTAGCTAGCAGCCAGCGCCAGTAGCAGCCAGCAGCCAGTAGCCAGCAGCCAGTAGCCAGCAGCCTACCAAAAATCTAATCTAGATTTTTCTAGGATTTCAGACGACACGTTAGGCACTTTTTTGGCGTGGTTCTGGCACTCGCTCGTCCTTCAGAGCCCTGGTGTTTTCCCCCCCGGGAGGTGATTTTTTCGAAGTTGTTTTCCTGCGAGCGGCCGCAGGCAACAGAAATTCTCGAAAAAGGTTGTTTTTCTAGGATTTCGGACGGGACGTTAGGCACTTTTTTGGCGTGGTTTTAGAACTAGTTCGTCCTTCAGAGCCATGGTGTTTTCCTGCCGGGAGCTGCTTTTATGCTTTTTTCGAAGTTGTTTTCGGAAAAAGGTTGTTTTTCTAGGATTTCAGAAGGGACGTCAGGCACTTTTTTGGCGTGGTTTTGGAACTAGCTCGTCCTTCAGAGCCATGGTGTTTTCCTGCCGGGAGCTGCTTTTATGTTTTTTTCGAAGTTGTTTTCCTGCGAGCGGGCGCAGGCAACAGAAATTCTCGAAAAATGTTATTTTTCTAGGATTTCAGACGGGACGTTAGGCACTTTTTTGGCGTGGTTTTGGAACTAGTTCGTCCTTCAGAGCCATGGTGTTTTCCTGCCGGGAGCTGCTTTTATGTTTGTTGTTTTCCTGCGAGCGGCCGCAGGCAACAGAAATTCTCGAAAAAAGTTGTTTTATGTTGTTTTATGTCGTTTTTCTAGGATTTCAGAAGGGACGTTAGGCACTTTTTTGGCGTGGTTTTGGAACTAGTTCGTCCTTCAGAGCCATGGTGTTTTCCTGCCGGGAGCTGCTTTTTTCGAAGCTGTTTTCCTGCGAGCGGCCGCAGGCAACAGAAATTCTCGAAAAATGTTGTTTTTCTAGGATTTCAGACGGGACGTTAGGTACTTTTTTGGCGTGGTTTTGGAACTAGTTCGTCCTTCAGAGCCATGGTGTTTTCCTGCCGGAAGCTGCTTTTTTCGCAGTTGTTTTCCTGCGAGCGGCCGCAGGCAACAGAAATTCTCGAAAAAGGTTGTTTTTCTTGGATTTCAGACGGGACGTTAGGCACTTTTTT